GTTGCTAGCTTCAACCATCCACCATTTGGCTGCATTGTCGAGGAGGCGGGAGGTGGCAATGGGGAGCCAGTGGGCAAGGGGCATGTGGTGGAGCTGAAAAGAGTTTTGAAGCTGGGTTAGGAAGAGGAAAACGTCCTCGTGGGGGAGGCCGGAGAAGGACATGATTTCGCCAGATCGGAAGGAACGGGGGATTTCCCCGTCGCAGTGAACGATCTGCGCGAGGGTGTTAAAGCTGAGGTTATCATGGGTGGTGTCGTAGCAGGTGTGGTCGATTTGGTTGTTGTCCTCAAGGAGGTAGTTGGGGGGAGGTTGTGGCATTGCGGGGAAGAACCCAGAGGTCACTTGGAAATAGGTGGGACGGATGGTGGGGATGGTGGAGGTGGTCATGATGGGTTGGGAGAGGGTTTGGGAGTGCGGGGGGGGAAGAGGGGTGACTTTGATGGACGAGGAATGAGGCGGTGTGCTGATTGCGCCGGATGAGGGAGGAGGTGGAGGGAACGGAACGATGGTGGGGATTGAGGGGTTGGTGGATATGGCGGTAGAGGTGGTAGGAGTGGAGGAGGTCCGCGGGGGGGTGTTGCTAGAGGTGGCTGTGGAGGAGGGAGTGGTTTGCGCTGTGGGGGTTGGAGTGGTTTGCACTGTGGGGGCTGGAGTGGTTTGCGCGGCGGTGACGACCGCGATGGAGGGGGTGGTCCCTTCGAGCGTGGTGACGCGGTCGCATATGGACGACATGTTGGCCTTCATGTCGTCGAGAGAGGCGGTGACGGAGGTTCGGAGGGTGTTGAGTGCGTGGAGGATGGCGAAGAGGTCGAGGGTGGCGGTGTTTGTTGGTGGTTGTTCGCCTGCGAGGTTGCGGGCGATGCTATCAACTGAGTCGGTGCGGATGTCAGACATGTTGATGGAGGATGCGGCCATGTCAGGGGAAGAGGGGGTCGAGGACGTGGCCTGAACGGGTGTGGAGGATGCCGCAGCAGCGGTGGCGGCATGTTGGGAGTTCTTGGTTTGGCGTGGTGGCATGTGGAGGGTGGGGGCGGAATCCCTTATTTATTTATTAATAAATTCAAAAATAAAGATAATCCGCAAGTTTTTTTCAAAAATAAACGCTGAATAGAAAGAGTTAATTAATTTCGAAAAAATAATTTCTGATTTAGATTTAAATTTATTTACAAGAAAACGTGAAATTTCGAAAGAAAAATTAGGAAGGAAAATTTTAAAATATTTGGCAAGAATTTTTCAAAAAGGAAAATGTCGACATTTCAGAAAAAAGGATAATTAATTTCGAATAAAGAGATTAATTCAGTCGTGAATTAATTGAATTTAGTCGAAATTTATTGAGGGGTTTACAATAACATTTTTAAGAGAAAAGTACTTCCGAATTGTAAAAAGAGTTTCGAATTTCAACAAAAATTGCAAAAATAAATTGTGAATTAAAATAGTGGGAAAAAGAATTAATTAGAATTATTTTTGAATTTCCAAGAGAAATATCGAAAAAGAATTTAATTAATTATAACGTATTTTCAAAATTTTCAAAAAAAATAAAAATAAAAATAAAAATAAAAAAATTAAGTAGAAATGTTTTGAAAAAGAAATGTTGAAAAAGAAATGTTGAAAAAGAAATATCGAAAAAGAGTTAGATTAATTCTAAAATATGTTCGAATTATAAAATATCGAAAAAGAACGAATTAAATTTGTTTTCAAATTTCGAAGAAGAAATGCCGAGGAAGAAATGGTTAAATCCTTCCAAATTTTCGAAAAAGAAAACATGTTTGAGAAAGAAATTAGTATTTTCGAATGTACAAAAAAATATATATATCGTCAAATAGAATGGATTCTAGAAATGAATAAAATGAATTATGATGTAAATCGAGGGCGGGGCGATCCTATCTACTATTTGATTGGGTGGTAGCGTGGTAGGTAGGGCACGGGTCGATTGGTGATGATGATGATGATGATGATAGGGTGGGGACGATGGGGGGGGAACAGTCGCCCAGGGTGGAAAAGCGGACCCGGGGATCGCGCACGGGTTGCGCGTGGGGGGG